GGCCGGCTGCGCCGGCAAGGGCCGGGGCTTGTTACTCCCGGCCGGGGCGGCCCCTGGGCAGCAGGAAGAGAGCTGGGGCGGTTCGGTGCCCTTGCCCTGTCCGCCCCCGGCCACCAAACAAGCCGGCATTGGGGGGGAGCCCGCCGCAGCCGGAGCCGGCTGCAGCCCCCGGCCCAAGTATCAGGCGGTGCTGCCCATTCAGACGGGCTCGCTCGTGGCTGCGGCCAAAGAGCCTACGCCCTGGGCCGGGGACAAGGGTGGGGCGGCTCCCCCAGCTGCCACCGCCTCGGACCCGGCGGGGCCCCCCCCACACCCCCACCACTACCTCTGCCCGGGCCGCCACCCCTCGCGCCCACCGCCACCGCCGGGACCCTGGTGGCCAGCGAGGGCAGATGGAAGAGTATGAGGAAGAGCCCTCTCGGGGGTGGCGGTGGCTCGGGAGCCTCCAGTCAGGCCGCCTGCCTCAAACAGATCCTTCTGCTGCAATTGGACCTCATCGAACAGCAGCAGCAGCAGCTGCAGGCCAAGGAGAAGGAGATCGAGGAGCTCAAGTCTGAGAGAGACACGGTACGGGAGGGGTTAATCTGCGTTCGGGACGAGGAGCGAGTTGTGCGCATGCTCGGGGGAAGGGGGCTGTAGGAGGTTAAGGTACCCCTTGGTTAGGGGGAAAGGAGGTTGGCCATCAGCAAAGGAGTATCTTAGGTGCTGGGACTTTGGGAGCCAAGCTCACAGACACGTTGGGTTGGAGGGAGGGGTTAAAGGGCAACCTCCCAGTGGGAGGGGGAGGGGAGGTTCCAGGTGCCAAAGGGTTAATTTAAAATGACAGCCCAGACTTGTGGGAAAGCTGTTTAGAGTGGGACAAGATCTGATTTGTGAGGGGTTAAAAAGGGAAGGGTGGGGTGCATATGTGGTGACTTTATGGAACGGGTTAAATTAAAGAGCTATTGCGTTAGAAATGCATTGTGGAGGAGAGGGACCTAGCAGCTGTTGCTCTATCCACTGCTGCAGCATCTTTAGATAGGCGGGTAGTGGCCTCTTAGTGAGCAGAGGGGTAGAAGCATTTAGGAGGAATCCTATATTAGTGTTCTTAAATGAGATACAGAGAATCTCTGCCTTTGATTTCAGTCTTTAATAGGAATCTGAGTTATAAAACATGACCCACTGACCAGGTCCCTTGTATAATAAGCATGGTGTTTGAAGTTGGAAGATTTTAAAGCACCAGGGGAAAGTAAGCCTATTGGATATATTGTGGATCCCTACCCCCCCACCAAAAAAAAAAAAAAAACCAACCCTGTTTTAGCTTCTTAAGGCAGTAAGGAAGTCGTTTCTAATTTCTTTGTACTTCTGAGGAGCATGACTACATAGGCTTGGTTTTACTGCAGCAGTAGTTAAGGGCAGTTCTGCATTAAAGCATATTCCCTTAGATACAGAAAAGCTGGGTTGATGGGGTATTACTGTGCTAGCATACCTTACAGCTGCCTAAAAATAAACATGGTTTCTACAATTGTTGTGTTCAGGCTGCAGCAGTCTCTCTCTCTCTGGCTTCGTGCGCGCCAAGGGCTGAGCAAGGGAGCAGAGGGCTATTCATTTTGTTTGCTTTCCAAATGAATCGCATCGGGGCTGCTGTTTTATTGGAGAATGCATTCTGCAAGGTGGAATGAAAGCTGGGGCAGGTCTCATTAAAATATCTCCTGGTGTTGATTTGTGGAAGTTACTCAACATGGAGGTGGCACTGCTTAGCTACTGTACTGCAGTCTAGGGGTGTGATGGTACTGTAATTACAACACATATCCTTACATGGTGGGGGGAGGTGGGAAGGACCAGTGAAGGAGAAGAAATCAAGGAAATGTCACCCACAGACCGTGGTTAAGTAATGTTAAGGCTGGGAATCAAAACAGTATAAGACAAAATGAGAGGGGGAGCTCTCTGCTGATTGTAGAGGTTTCTGCTCAGTTCCTGATGTAATGGTCCCTTTGCAGGCTTTCCTAGGCAAGAAAAGTGGGGTGAGTTAAGGATAGAGTGTCAGTTTGAACTTGGCTTTCACTGCTTCTGTTGTGTATTGCAGTCTTAGCATTGCTTAAGCTTGTTTCTCTTATTCCAGTTGTTTGATCTTGAACTGAAATCTATGCAATAGATGTAATGAAGGCAGCATTAATATCTGTCTAGCCCAGATAAAATTCTCATAATAGGGTGTAAGTAGCACGGTGGGCACCATTTCTCAAAACTACAAATTAACGTGGACTTTTCAATGATAACAGACTTCCATTTTGTTTGATTATGTAGTCCTTTTAATGAGAATGAAAGGATTCTGATTTTAATAAACAGGCATAACGTCCTCTGTGATTGCAAGTGCAAGGCAATGTGTATGTATGCCATGAATGTTACGATTTATGGGTACTGATTTCTATAATTCTCCCAAATGAAATGTTCATTGTTTTAGAAGTCCTCTCCCCCACACACCCCTTTCAAACAACATTGTCATCCCTAGTGCCCTGTATGAGCGCTTAATTCCTTCTCAGTGTACTGTTTCGACTTTGCCATTGTATGTAGAGTTTTAGAGTGGAAGAGAGGATAAGATTTGGAGTGGTTTATGGCCTCTTAAAAGAACATATATGAATTTAATTCTGGGAACTCCCAAATCAACTTGAAGCCACATGGTTAGTAGTAGGGGAGACCATGCCATTAGAAAGCATGGTGTAGCCCCTCCTAGTAGAGAGAATCTTATTTCAAAAGAATGAACTACAAATTCCCCTATGCTGCATCCCATTTGGTTAGTCCCTAAAATAAAGTGTCCCTTGTCCTCTCTATTGTGTTTAAGGAAAACAATTCAGATTAATATCTGCATATTAAAAATAACTTGAATCGATGTGGTCCACAGAAAGAGGCAGACTATATACTTAAATGGGGCCAAGTACCTGTATTTAATTTTTTGTGTTAAGTTTGCATTTTGCCACTCTCTCTTTTAGCTTCTTGCTCGGATTGAACGTATGGAAAGGCGGATGCAGCTGGTAAAGAAGGATAACGAGAAAGAAAGACACAAGCTGTTTCAGGGCTATGAAACTGAAGAGAGAGAGGAAACAGAGCTATCAGAGAAAATTAAACTGGAGTGCCAGCCGGAGCTTTCCGAGACATCCCAGACTCTGCCTCCCAAGCCTTTCTCATGTGGGCGCAGTGGAAAGGGACACAAAAGGTGTGCTGATAACTTTGTTACACTGTCTGGACATGATGAGTACTCTCTTCACCAGTGATTGAGAGTAAGGGTTTGGGATTATGAATTGGGTTTATAGCAATCATGGCCTAAATTATAAAGTCTTGTGTGTTGAGAAATGATCTTAAAATATTCTAGCTCAGGCTATAAAAGTCTATTAGGTACATTTTGGTCATAGTAGTAATTACAGAATGCAGAGTACATCATAAAGAGAATGGGCAACAAATGTGATAGCTGACTGTCTTAAAGAAAACTAAACCAGTTCACTTCAAATTAGGAAGTGTTAAACTCCTTCATTGTGATAGGTACCAGTAGACATAAAAAAGTAAAATAAAGGGCCAGTAGGTGGCATAGAGATTAAGGGACTGGATCCCACCTGGCCAACTTCGAGTTTCAAGTCTGGGACCTGGCAGCTTGAAAATCATGCCAGGTGAGTGTTTATGTGTGTGATGCCCAAAATCCTAAAAGGAGAATGGAGAAGGAGAGATTGCAGTGTGGCCACCCCGCCCTGGCGGTGATTTCCATTTTCCCTCTCTCTGTCTCTCTAGTGAGAGCACATACCCTATAGCAGAAACAAAAGTAAAATAAAACTGCCCTTGGACTCAAAGAAATTAGTCAAACTAAGGATGGGCATAAATTTAGATAGATCTTAAAAAAGAAGTATAGAATTTACATTGATAAAAATGAAAGGAGGTATCATTCTGGAAATGTGGTGGGGAGGAAGAGTTGGGGAGGAAGATGGTGAGGGAAAAGAGATCCAGGAAACAACGAGAAAAAAGAAATAGATTATAATTAACATGGTGGGGGTAGGGAAGTAAAGAGACTGGCCTGTGCTTGACAGGAATGAAACAGGTGGCACTAAGTAGTGGCATTTGATGTTGTCTAAAGGATTGTGAATAAAATAGGGAACTTTTAAAATCTAGTAGGCAATAAGACATTATTAGGCTTTTTTTTTTGAGAGAGAGAGATTTTTGCTATAGGGCATGTGTGGTTGCCACAGAGACAGAGAGATACAGAGACTGAAAAGAAGAAATCACTCTCCTCATGGAGGATGGCCATGCTGCAATCCCTTTTCCATTCTCCTCTCGGGATTGGGTATGCACACACGTAACTGTCGTGAGTTTTAAGACGCCAGGTTTGGGACTGGGTCTGGGACTCCATCTTCGGTCAACTACATGGGAGTCCAGTGACATAACCATTACTCCATCTGCTGTTCCCACTATTAGGCATTCTTGAACATCAAAACTCATTTGTTCAACAAACATTTACTGAGGGCCTAATTCTTTATACTGTTAAGCATGGGGCTGTTCCTGTTCATGGGTTTATAGCAATCATGGCCTAAATTATAAAGTCTTGTGTGTTGAGAAATGATCTTAAAATATTCTAGCTCAGGCTATAAAAGTCTATTAGGTACATTTTGGTCATAGTAGTAATTACAGAATGCAGAGTACATCATAAAGAGAATGGGCAACAAATGTGATAGCTGACTGTCTTAAAGAAAACTAAACCAGTTCACTTCAAATTAGGAAGTGTTAAACTCCTTCATTGTGATAGGTACCAGTAGACATAAAAAAGTAAAATAAAGGGCCAGTAGGTGGCATAGAGATTAAGGGACTGGATCCCACCTGGCCAACTTCGAGTTTCAAGTCTGGGACCTGGCAGCTTGAAAATCATGCCAGGTGAGTGTTTATGTGTGTGATGCCCAAAATCCTAAAAGGAGAATGGAGAAGGAGAGATTGCAGTGTGGCCACCCCGCCCTGGCGGTGATTTCCATTTTCCCTCTCTCTGTCTCTCTAGTGAGAGCACATACCCTATAGCAGAAACAAAAGTAAAATAAAACTGCCCTTGGACTCAAAGAAATTAGTCAAACTAAGGATGGGCATAAATTTAGATAGATCTTAAAAAAGAAGTATAGAATTTACATTGATAAAAATGAAAGGAGGTATCATTCTGGAAATGTGGTGGGGAGGAAGAGTTGGGGAGGAAGATGGTGAGGGAAAAGAGATCCAGGAAACAACGAGAAAAAAGAAATAGATTATAATTAACATGGTGGGGGTAGGGAAGTAAAGAGACTGGCCTGTGCTTGACAGGAATGAAACAGGTGGCACTAAGTAGTGGCATTTGATGTTGTCTAAAGGATTGTGAATAAAATAGGGAACTTTTAAAATCTAGTAGGCAATAAGACATTATTAGGCTTTTTTTTTTGAGAGAGAGAGATTTTTGCTATAGGGCATGTGTGGTTGCCACAGAGACAGAGAGATACAGAGACTGAAAAGAAGAAATCACTCTCCTCATGGAGGATGGCCATGCTGCAATCCCTTTTCCATTCTCCTCTCGGGATTGGGTATGCACACACGTAACTGTCGTGAGTTTTAAGACGCCAGGTTTGGGACTGGGTCTGGGACTCCATCTTCGGTCAACTACATGGGAGTCCAGTGACATAACCATTACTCCATCTGCTGTTCCCACTATTAGGCATTCTTGAACATCAAAACTCATTTGTTCAACAAACATTTACTGAGGGCCTAATTCTTTATACTGTTAAGCATGGGGCTGTTCCTGTTCATGACTGCCAAATGAGCACCAAATATTTAGGTACCTGAATACTGGTCATTTTGGAGCAAGAGTTTCTTGCCCCGAGATGTATTCAAGTCAGATTTTATTTAAGAGTCAATAAGTTTTATAACTTTTATTTCCCTATTTAATAGGAAATCCCCATTTGGAAGTACAGAAAGAAAGACTCCTGTTAAAAAGCTGGCTCCTGAATTTTCAAAAGTCAAAACAAAAACTCCTAAGCACTCTCCCATTAAAGAGGAACCCTGTGGTTCCTTATCTGAAACTGTTTGTAAACGTGAATTGAGGAGCCAAGAAACCCCAGAAAAGCCCCGGTCTTCAGTGGACACCCCACCAAGACTCTCTACTCCCCAAAAGGGACCCAGCGCCCATCCCAAGGAGAAAGCCTACTCAAGTGAGATAGAAGATTTGCCGTACCTTTCCACCACAGAAATGTATTTGTGTCGTTGGCACCAGCCTCCCCCATCACCGTTACCATTACGGGAATCCTCTCCAAAGAAGGAGGAGACTGTAGCAAGTAAGGCATAGAGAACACTTGCTCTTATACCCTAGTGGTGGCGGTCAAGCTAACAAGTGTGAAAATGCCTTTGGCATTTTTTAAAAAGTGCAATCAATAAAGCAGAGTTCTGTCAAGAATGAGTAAGTTAACAGCCAGAGACAGACACTGTGCAGGCATTGCAAATAGATGGAATTACGGCAAAATGTGCTCAATGTATTTGCCTGCTTACAACACTGGGAGATGTGTTTGCCAGTAAGTTGCTCATCACAAGAGCACCAGACTTGGGGGTGTAATCTTCGGCAACTTGCATGCCCTCTGAAAGAAGGGTTTTCTGTGCTGTGAAATGCATAGAACTTATACTTTGCCATGCACGACTGTTCCTGCAATTGATATTGTGTGAAACCTGGGAGGGTGGTCTTTGGGTGTTCTCAGGGGCCAATGGTAATTTTTGGGTTGGGGAGCCATCTTGGGGTGGGGGATTTTCACCTGGACCTCCGCTCTTTAACTATATAAACATTTATCTGTATCTCTATGTCCCGGTCTGGGGGGCAGGAGGAATCTGCCAAAGACCAACAGTCTTACTTTATCTTACTATACTTCACAAAGGTTCTAAAATGTGAAGAGTTTACTTGGATTGCAGTAGCCCATTGGTTGTTCATATATTTAAATAAAATGGTCTACAAACTATTTTTCAAACAATAAGGACTATCTTGGGATATCTGAGCTGCTTGGGGAGGGTGTGGGGTGTGGGACCTTGGTCTTCATTCCCTTTTTTTTCCTTTATGGCTTCCACACAGAAATGCTTCCCTATCTCCTTCATCAACCAGTAACTGGAGTGTGCCTTCAATCATGCAATATTAGTTTATGACAGTCACTGTGGGTACTCCGGGGTAATGGTGAGAGAAACCTTCTTGGATAGAACCACAGCCCTAAGTTTCTACCATTGTGTCTTGCCATAGCAGGGATGGGCATGGTAATCCATTCCAATAAGATGAGAGCATTCTCCAGGCTTTGTTTGGCTGTTCTGTTGACAAAATTAAGTGGGGAAGATAGATTACTCTTCTTAATTATCTAACATTCATTAGACTTTACATTTGACTACATGAGATAGACCAGGATCCTGATCTAGGTTCAGGTTTTTGTTGGTTCAGTCGTTGAACAGGTCCATTCTTAATGGTTAACCTTTTTGCTGCCATGGCAATGCTGTGTAACAACTTAAGAGAAACTGAAGCAACTTCCCGTCCGGGATTGGGAAATGGCTTGGTCTGGAGCTGTTCTGTGTGACTGGCTGTTTTTGAAAATTCTATCTACCCTAGCACAGAAAATTCCAAACACCTCTGAGATTGTGGGCATAGCAGGACGAAGGAGTCTGATTGGGGAGATCCCAAACCCTTGAGGAGCCTGAGTTGTGAATAAATGTGTGAATCCTTTCTCTGGATGCCCCTATCTCAAGAGGAAGTCTCAATGGCTTGTTCTAAGGAAGCCAAAGTCTTGGTGCATGTTGTTCAGGCTGGACCAGCGAGGTAGTTTGTTTGGAGGGAGGAGGGAGCTGTTTAAGAAGACTACATATGTAAGTTTTGAGAACACTGATCTTTTATTTGAAAAATAGGGTCAACTTTTACTCACCTGCCATGTTCTGAGTTTAAGGTTTGATATCCTTGGCCATCAACTGTTGCAGGGAAACCACCCTAAATAATGAAGAAAAGAAGTCGTCTCAGTGTAAAAAAAAAAGTGGTGGGCTTATTTTCTTTTCTTTTGTCTGTTGTTCCCTCTTCCCCTTCCCCAGAGAGAAATTCTCAAAAGAACAACTCAAAAAACAAAATGGCTTCCTAGTGAGAACTTCAGTGATGATCCTTTCCTCCATTTTGGGTATGGGCTTTTTTTCTTTTTACACTGAGATGATTCTTCTTTCCTGCATTATTTAGGGTGTCTGATGCCATCAAGTGTTGCAGGAGAAACTTCAGTCTTGGCTGGTGAGTAGAATAGGAATTGTGCTGGCTGGGCCTGGGGCGGGAGTTGGTGGGATGGTGGATGGTTGGGAGTTGCGTTCCCCATCCGCTGGATGTGGGAGAGTGAGATTCCTTGGTGTATGATTGATCACACTACTATAGACTTCAAAATGACAACAAATTTCAGTTGTTTTTCAGGAACTGCAGTAGCATCCATTATATGAATTGTCAGGTATTGGCTTAGGGCTTTTTGTGATCCTGAGTTTGGCAGAACTGCAGTGGCATTTTAGTTTCTTTTTTACCATAGCGAGGACACTGAATATGGCTTCAGGTGAGGCCATAGAATGGATTCCTATCACTTGGTAACTTTATCTTATCTGGGGAGAGACCTGTCATTCCTAGTGAAATAGTTGGAGGGTTGTGTGACTTTGGATTTAAGGGTGGTTCCACCCCTCCTCCCTTTCTTTTTCTTTTTCTTTTTTTCCAGTTCCTTCTTGGAGGGACCACTCAGTAGAACCTCTAAGGGACCCAAATCCTTCAGATCTTTTGGAGGTAGGTACCTAAGAGCTGTCAATGGAAAAGAATAAGAGATTAAATAGAATAGTTATGGGGGGCATAACTTGAATATGTCATAGTATATGGATGGGCTAAATAGAACTTTAAATAAAACAGGGAATGTGAGAGATAATCTAGCCTAACTTCTTCGTTTTACAGATGAGAAAACTGAGGTCCAGAGTGATAAAGTGATTTATTAAAAAATACACAGCTGTAGGACCAGCAGGTGGTGTAATGGTTACGTCACTGGACTCCCACGTAGTTGACTATGGTTTGAGTCCTGGACCCGGCAGCTTAAACTCACACTGGGCACGTGTGTATGCATGCCCAAAATCTTGAGAGGAGAGTGGAGAAGGGATTGTGGCAAGGCTATCACCCCTGGGGGGGTGATTTCTTGCTTTATGTCTCTCTTTGTCTCTCTGACGAGCATACGTGCCCTATAGCAAAAAATAGAAATAAGGGCCCTAAAGAAAAAAACCTCCCTTAAAAAAAAAAAAAACAATAGTAATACACAACTAGGTAGTATTGAAAACAAAAGTAGAGGAGCTGACAGGTGGCATGGTGGTTGAGGCGCTAGACTCCCACATGGGTGACTACGGTTTGAGTCCCAGACCTGGCAGCTTGCTTTCTCACTTTCTCTCTTTCTGGTCAAATTTAAATAATAATAATAATAAATAAAATTAAATAATTTGTTTTGGGGGGGCTGGCAGGTGGAGTGGTGGTTCAGAACTGGACTCTCACGTGGCCGACCATGGTTTGAGTACTGGACCTGGTGGCTTGCTTTCTCATTCACTCTCTCACTATATCCCTCTCTGGTCAAATTAAAATAATAAGTAAATGGGTAAAAAAAAAAGTTAAATAATTCTTAAAAAAATTATAGGGCCAGCAGTTGGCGTAATGGCTATGTCGCTGGACTTCCACGTAGTCGACCATGGTTCAAGTCCTGGACCTGGTGGCTTGCTTTCTTTCTCTGTCTGTCTCTGTGTCTCTCTCTGGTCATACTAAAAAAAAAATGAATAAATAAAAATTAAATTAAAATAATTCTTAAAAAAATTATAGGGCCAGCAGTTGGCGTAATGGCTATGTCGCTGGACTTCCACGTAGTCGACCATGGTTCAAGTCCTGGACCTGGTGGCTTAAACTCACACTGGGTGTGTGTACGTGCATGCCCAAGATTCCGAGAGGAGAATGGAGGAGAAGGGATGTATAAAATGATGCGGTGTGACCATCCTCCCTGGGGGATGATTTCTCACTTTCTCTCTGTCTGTCTGTGTCTTTCTGGCAAGTGCACACGTCCTATAGCAAAAAAAAAAAAAAAAAAACTAAAAAAAAATTTTTTTCTACCCGAGAGTAATCGATTTCATACTAAAGTTAGCACATAGTACTCAGCAACAAAATTACATATTCTAAGCTCAATTGACTATTCTAATATTTATTTTATAAACTCAAGACTCTTACAGAGTACAGAGATGAGGAAGTTAACGGTAGTCTCACGTGTTGTTTTAGTTTGACATGACTTGTACCTTAGAAAATCCTGGAAGTGATTTAAACTTTGGGGATTCTAAAAGGGTGGAGGTAGGGA